CTAGAAAATAAATTATTCAAGGAACTTCTGGAAAAAAACAAAAAGTAGTTTGGCAACAATTAGGTTTGGAATAGCATCTTACCACAATACCACAATAAACTCAAAATGATCTGAATATTAAATATGACACAAAAATTGGAAGAGAACTATATCAGGTAACTTTTACACCTACAGCTGAGGACAACTGATAGTGGGAATCACAAAAAAATAAACAATTTTGATTATGTGAGTTTGAAAAGCATTTTCACTAACAAAATCAAAGCAACTAGAAGAAAGGAGGCAGTGCAAGCACTTATTAAGCACCTACTGGATATGCCAAGCACTGTGCTGAGCATGTACAAATATCCTATTTGATCCTCACAACAACCCTTTGCTATTATCCCCATTTTTTGTGGCTGAGGAATTAACATAAAGGTTAAATGGCCTGTTAGGGGTCACCTAGCTAGTTAACTGCCTGAGGCTGGATTTCACTTTAGGTGGGCCTGGAGCCAGACCCAGCACTCTATCCACTGTGCCATTTATCACAAAGAAGCTTGATTGAGGGAAAAACAATCTTTGCATTATATATCTCTAATAAGGGTCTGATATCCAAGATACATACGGAATTAAGATGTTCCACAATGAATGAGTAGTTAAAGGGTAAGAACAGAGTTCTCAAGAGAAATGCATATTGCTAATAACTATATGAAAGATTATTCAGTCACTAATAATGAGAGAAATATAAATCAAAAGAACTCTGAGATTTCACCTCACAAACATAAAATTGGCAAAGATGAGAAGATGAGAACAATCAATGTTGGAGGTACTGTGGAAAGACAGACAGACCAAGAGATCACTGATAAAGCTGTGAATTGAACATAGAATCAACAGCTTTAATTAAGCCCTTACTATGTACCAACCATGGTGATAGAGGTAGGAATACAAAGAAAGGCAAAAACACTATTCCTACAAGGTATACAAGGTCATGTTCTAATAGGTCATGTTCTAATACAACATGTAAATATAATCAGAGTAGATAGAAGGTAATCTCATAGCAAAGGAAATAGTAGCAGGGGGTACTGGGAAAGGACTCCTACAGAAGAGCATTTCAGGCACGGCAAACAGCCACTGCAAAATTATGAAATCAGGAGATGGAGCTCTGCATGCCAAGAAGAGCAAGTAAGTCAGTGTAGGCGTAGCTGGATCATAGAGCTCATGGAGGAGAGTAAAGCATAAGAAGACTAGAAATACAGAAAAGTGCTGGGTTGTGAAAGCAAAGGATTTGCCGCAAGTGAAATTCAACAAAGGCAGACTTGGGCACATATTCTCAGAGCAAGGTAAGTTTATCAACAGGGCAAAAATCTGATAATAAAGGGGTCAATGGACTGCCTCAGTTTAAGCCAAAGACCCTGAGCAAAATGGCTCCCCCTTTATAATTTTTGGGGAGTATAGAACAAAGAATAGGACTTCATAGACTGGGAAAAAGTTATGATTGATTATAGTGTTGGCAGCATCATGGGCATAAGGACATAACTGGGTACAGTGACAACACTGTAGGCAGGGTGACAATATTGGAAACTGGGAATGAAGGGCTAGCAACAACCCCCTCCTTCCTTCCTGTGACTAAGAAAGGTTCATTGTTCGAATCCACCTGCAAAGTCAGACACAGTGGGCTAGCTTTCTTTTGGATAGCAAACCAAACATTCTTGCAGGATAGGCTGGCGGTGCAAAGATACTAGACCGGATTCCCATTACCCACCTGCATCACTCAAGGAAAACAGATTTCCATGGGACAAGAATAGAACAATCATTAGCAAGAGAACTGGATCTGTAAACTTAACTCATTACAGGCCAGTTGAATTTCTGAACTAAGTTCACAGACAAGGATCCATGACATAGGCAGTTACAGGACAAAAACTATTAATTGTAAATAGAATCAATAAACAATTTTACAGAATCGATTTATTTTATATTTGATTCTAGAGGGGAAAAGGGAGCTTACTGAGTAGTGAGATGACATGGTCAAACTTGCACTTTAAGAAAATCGCTTTGGCAGCCTAGTGGGGAATGGACCAGAGAGGGACTTGAAGAGAGACCAACCTATTGTAACACGCAAAGTGTGAGGAGATGAAGGTCTGAAATAAGGTGGTGACTGGGTGAGCGGAGAGGGGCACAGAGACGATGTAAAGGTAGAAAGAACAAGATGTGACACTCATCTCTAATTTATCCTGTTGTTTGCAAGTTGTCTCCCCTCTTAGACCATAAGCTCCTTGAGAGGGGGGACTGCTCTTTGTCTGTGTTCTCCAGCACTTAATACAATGGATCTAGTGAAGAAGACAGAAGGAGCAATCAGACAGGAAAGAATCAAGAAAATAATGTCATGAAAATGCTGAGAGAAAAGAGTATCCAAGATGAGGGTTTTTCAACAGAGGTTTTCCAGCATTTGTGGTAAAATGCTTTAGAGGTAAAAAATTGATGAGGACCAAGAAAGGGCTATTAGATTTGGCACAGAGACAACAAAGATTATATATTTGCTGAACATTTTTTTGTACACTATGGCTAAGTAAACTTCTTTTTATTAACTCTTAAATGGTTATTGGGCTTTATTTCCTTTCAAACCTGGAACTGAAGCACCAGATCTATCAGATCTAATCAGAGTAGCCAGAGTTGGACCTGATTTGGGAGTGGGGAGCAGGAGGCTTTCTGGCTTCTGATCCATGGAGCTCTGTTGGGGTTGGGGAATTATGTGGTACTCCCAAAGCTTGTAAGATGTAAGGAGGTTAAAGAATCTTCCATATTGGTTTAGGTCAGATATCCATTCTTTTTTTTCTTTTTTTGGGTTAGGCAGTGCCCAGGGTCACACAGTAAGCGTTATGTGTCTGAGGCCGGATTTGAACTTCAGGTCCTCCTGACTCCAGGGCCGGTGCTCTATCCACTGTGCCACCTAGCTGCCCCCCAGACGTCCATTCTGTAAAAACAGATATAAGGCAAGGATTATTCCCAGGAACCAGCTCTTCTAAATCCAGCCATGGACTGAAAACATGTTCAATGTTCATTTTTTTAAAAGTAAATTGATTTTCTGCATTTGAACAAATTAATATGCTTAATATTGGTATTCCTGAGCCAGCCTGAAGATCAGTTTATCGGAGTCCCTTCAGTACTTGATGGTATGTTGGCAGCAGACTGTGCCTTTCAAGTTGGTACTCATTCACACACTAGTTTTTACTAGTATGAGACTCAAAGGCTGTCACTAGCATCATCATGGCAGTGTGGTATATTGCTTAAAGAGCTGGCTTTTGAGTCAACAAGAACAGGATTTAAGTCTTGCTTTTCAGCTATGTGAGCATGTGCAGTTAACTTTTCAGTGTCCCAGAAAGCTTTCAAATACCATTACTTATCACAAAGTTGACAGTCTATGAGATTCCCTGAGAGCTCCTCCCATCAATAAAATGACAGATCTGGCCCTTACTTTGACCCAGAAAAAACATCACTATAATCAAGAAGCATTTATTTTTTAAAACCATTTTTTAAAACAATAAAAATTCTTATATTGTTATCAAAATTAAGGTAAACTGAAGCACAAAGCTCTGAGCACAATCGATTTACTAGTAAAGTGATTTTACCAATAAATAGGATCTTAGCTTCCTCAGAAAAGCTAAGACCACAAGGTGAGGCTAGCTAGCCTTTTCACAGTTTTTCTAGAAAGCACAGAACAAAGAACAGGACTTCATACGCAGGAAATTGGTTACAAAGCCTAAAGAAAACAATATGATTGGTAACATCTTAGATGAGGGGAACACGATTGGCTAGAAATTGGGAATGTGCGGCTAGTAACAACTGCTTCTTGTCCTTAAGGAATGCTGATTGATTTATGTAGCCCACTTGCATCTTGCAAGGCCTGTCTGTGAGATAACAGATTTCCCTTACTTGTACATGGGTAAGCAAGGTTCATTAGTAAAATAACAGGTCACCCTCAATTGTGCTGGGGTGGGGGCAGTGAGATGTGTAGAGATAACACGTTTCTTCGAATTAACGTGATTTATGGGACAACTTAGCTTAGAGAGTCAAGGCTGAACTTCTGAACCTATGAAGTTCTTAACTCAGTGTCAAAGAAAGGTACTTAAGTAGTTATAGAAAATACAAAATAAAATCAACCACAAATAGAATTAATTACAAAAACAGAATTGAATAAGAAATGGAATAAATTTGATTTTCTCAGTTATATATTTTTTTACATCACCTAGATTTCCTCCATATCTTCTCCTCTGCCCCCTGCCTTATTTCTTATAATTTTTTTTAAAGTGGAAGAGAGAAAAGAAATTCATTAAAACTGATCAATACTTAGAAATATTTTAATACTATATGCAATGTTTTCTCATACCTTTATTTTTTTGGTAGACAAACTGGAAGCTACTGACAAGAAGGGCTCCACATTCACCAAAATATTTTTAGTAGTACTTTTTTGTGGTAGAAAAAAAATAGGAATAGATGTTCCTTCATTGGGGAACAGCCAAACAAACAATAATATATGAAGGTAATGGAATATTATTGTGCTATGAGAAATGACAAACATGTTGAAAACAGAGAGCAATGGAAAGACCCAACTGATACAAAGTGAAATAAACCAGGAAAACAATATACATAATGACCATAACAGTGTAAATGGAAAGAACCACCATCATAAAACAACAGTTGCCTAAGGTCACACAGCTTGTAAGTGAGAGAGACAGATAAGAACCACCCAGGGTTTTCTGTCTCAAAAGCAAGAATTATCTTCATCCTCTTTCCACTGCCCAACCCCCTATAAAACACAAATATCTAATCCAGGTGTGGGGGACCTGAGGCCTCTAGGCCACATGTGGCCTCTAAGTCCTGGTGTGTGGCCTTCTGAGTCCACAAATCCTTATCTAATAACTTCTGTGAAGTTATTAGATTCTAGAATTAGATTCTAATCCACTGCCAAGGTCCACTGATTTCACCAATGGAACATCTCTGACGTACCTATCATTTGTGCCCCCTTTTCTCTTTGGCAACCACCTTGGGGAAAGTCCTCTTCATTACTTCCTGCCTGGCCTGTTTGCAATAGCCTGCTGGTTGGTGTCCCTGCCAAAAGTCTCTTCTTACTTCAGTCCATCCTCCATTTGGCTGTCAAACTAATCTTTCAAAAGCACAGGTCTGTCCTGATAAAAATCTGTAATGAAGAGAAACTGAGGCACAAAGTCTTCAAGCATCATCAATTTATTTAGCAAGGCTAGTAGTTGCCAATAACTTGATATCCTGAGCCCCTCAATGGCCAGGGATGCATTACAGCAGACAGAGCAGTCTTTGATACAGTTGGTAAAGGTACAGATGGACTTACATTTAACCTGATTTATAAGAGGAGATTTCCAAGACTCATGACAACAGAGTTAATCAACATTCTTTGGAAAGTCCAGTGTTAAACAACTCTTGACTTTTGACCAGGTAGAATATCTTATGACTCCAGGGTCATAAGACCCCCTCATTCCCATCTGGGGCAAGAGTCCAAGTCGTTGCCTAGAAAAATAGGGAAATCATTCATATAAAGAAGTTAAACCATCTTACTCCAATTTTAAGTAGTCAAATTATCTTTTAAATCAAATTAATTCCTAAGTACTGATTCCAGTGATTAGATACTTAATTCTTAATCAATAAATAATAAATAATACATCAATTTCACATTCCCCCCTCTGATTCTATGGAGCCACGTTTCCACCGAATTACCATCTATAGGCCAGGTTGGTATCAAATTAGGCATAATCCACATCCATTGGAATTAAATTAATAATGAAAAGCAATAATTACAGGGTTCAATATTTTATACAAAGCCAGCCATGAGAGGTTTATTACTGGTGCTGTTTAACTGTTACAAATGGCCTAGCAATAGGTGATAAGCCTCTCATGTTTTCTCCATTTGCATGTTGTGATAGTTAGACAGAAATAGGTTCCCATGACTTTGGAGTGCTTTGGTGCTACAGACTAAAGTTTTGCCACCTATGGATCTGACAAATCCATTGGGAGTAGTCCCCTTCAATAAGATGGCCTTGCAAAGAAAATGGTATATGGCAAAGATAGAATTTACATGTCTTTCAGGTAAAACAATGATCAAGTACTTTTGTACCCTAGTAGCCCACTCCCAGTGTCCATTTAATTTCTAGTTGAGTTTCATATGTCTCATACATATGGTCCCTGGAAAAAACTTTTTATGGAGTAGGTCTCAATTAATGGCAGCTCTGAAGGTGGGTGTTCATGGAAGGGCTGATCACTTACGGAGGTTCCTTGGTGTTTCTGCTATAATCCTTTGCAAAACAGATCTTAATACAATGTGGTAACTAGTTGAGATGGTGAACTATAGAACATAAAATCAGGAACTGACACCTGAAACTTCAGAGAATTTAAGTACCACATGAAAATAGGTTAATAGGCCTATTTTCCATGAAAATTATATATTCCATGTATATTCCATGAAAGTCATGTATCTTATTGCTCTTCAAAGTCGTGTGCTCTATTTAATCTCCAAAAGTTTTGCATTCATCTTTATCTAAATCTGATTCCAATTCATTCCCCACTCAGGAGAACATTAAAATAAATGATCATATCAACATAATGAAAGATGTAGTATTGATATCAACACGATGAAAGGATATTGTAGTATCAATCTCCAATAAACTAAATACCCTATCAATTGTAAGGCCTCATGGTCTCTACTATTTGTAATTCAAATGACAATTTAAAGTGTGATTACTACTACTACTACTACTACTACTACTACTACTACTACTACTACTA